GAGATGTTTTTATTTATTGTTTTAGTCATTCTCATTGGCATGGATGGATGGATGGATGGATGGATGGATGGATGGATGGATGGATGGATGGATGGATGGATGGATGGATGGATGGATGGATGGATGGATGAATGGATGGATGGATTGATAAATAGTCGGATGGATGGATGGATGGATGGATTGATGAATGGATGGCATGATAAATAGTCCGAATGATAAATGGATGGATAGATGGAATGATGGATGGATGGATGGAATGATAAATAGATGGAATGATAAATGGATGGATGGATTGATAGAGTGATGGATGGATGGAATAAATGGATGGATGGAATGATAGATGGATGGATTGATGGATAAATTGATGGAGCGATGGATGGATGGATGTTTAGAGTGATGAATGGAGTGATAAATGAATTGATGTAATGACGGATGGATGGAATAATAGATGGATTGATAGATAATAGATGGAAGGAGTGATGGATGGATGAATGGAGTGATAGATGGATGGATGGGTGGATGGATGGATAGATGGATGGAGTGATAAATTGATGGATGGATGGATGGATGGATGGATGGATGGATGGATGGATGAATGGAGTGATAGATAGAAGGATAAATGGTTGGATGGATTTAATGATAAATTGACGTAATGATGGAGGAATGGATGGATGGATCGAGTGATAAATAGATGGCATAATAAATGGATGGTTGGATTGATGGAGTGATAGATGGATTGAATGATAGATGGATGGATGGATGGATGGATGGATGGATGGATGGATGGATGGATGGATGGATAGATGGATGGAATGATAAATGAATAGATGGATTGGAGTAAAGGATAGATTGAATGATGGATGGATTGATGTATGGATGGATAGTGGGATGGATGGATGGATGGAATGAAAAGTGGATGGATGGATGAATGGATGGATGGATGGATGGATGGAATGATGGAATGATGGATAGATGGAAAGATAAATAGATTGAATGATAAATGGATGGAGGATGGTTGGAGTGATAGATGGATTGAAGGATGGATGGATGGATGGATGGATGGATGGATGGATGGAAAGGTGGATGGATGGATAAATGGAGTGATAAATGAATGGATGGATCGATGGATGAAATGATGAATGGATGGATGAACGGATGGATGGAGTGATAAATAGATTGTTGGATGGAAAGATTGATGGAATGATGGATGGATGGATGGATGGATGGAATGATAAATGGATGGATGGATGGAATGATAGATGGATGAATGGAATAATTGATGGATGGAAAGAAAGAAAGAAAGAAAGAAAGAAAGAAAGAAAGAAAGAAAGAAAGAAAGGTAGATTTGTTACCCGATTTGTCGACAAAAGAGTTGCAGATTCATTCCTTGGCAATTGGTGCGTCCTACACTGAATCTTTTTCTCTTCGCACACAAAGACGTCTGTTTCTTTCTCATTTTGATGCTTGTGGGACGTCTGTTTCTTTCTCATTTTGATGCTTGTGGGTTAAATTTTGGCGCTGAAGTGACCAAGATGTAACCAAAGAATACTGTAGTTTTTCAAAATGAAATATTTTTCAAAATAAAAGATTGTTTAGACTCAGATAATAAATAAAATGATAATAATTATTATTATTATTTTTTTTTTGTGAGGCCCTCACAAAAAGGTCTGGTAGTCGGGCACCATTGAACTACAGTATTATTATAAAATGTTTACACACTCCAGTGTACACACCAATACTTCAGTGACCTGCAACACTAATGTACAAAGGCTGTAATATTTGGATCATACATGCACTAACAGCAGAACTTCTGACTACCATCAGTACCAAGCGGTTCTGCAATTTGGCAGCTAAGGTGAGTTGGCTCCGAAATGCTTCATTTGAGGAACCACTATCTCCCTAGTCATTGTCTGAGTCTGGAGGCCTGCATCAGACTGACAGCGCTGCACAAATATACTCATCCGCGCGTCCACAACTGGCGTGCTTGCGTGAACGTGTGCATTTTTATGAGCGGGATCTGGCAGTCACCCAGCATTTTTGTCTTGGTTGATACAGAAATTGTTCTGCCTGCGGTACACATCTAGTCGAATGAGGGAACACACAGTTCCTGGCTGTCCTTTCCAATTGGCAGTCTCCGTACTGTTCTGTGACTGATAAGAGGATAGTGTAAATAAAACTGTACAGCACAGCTCGTTACCGCTAAAGGAAACGGGAGAGCATGCTGTCTTTACTCATTGTTCTGACGGCACTGTTTTTCCTTTTTATATGGATTTTTTTTTTGCCTTTTTTTTTTTTGGTACTGAGTGTGCTGTCTTATATAACGCATTTGTGTAGGCTCACCGAACAGCAAGGGTATGTTTTTGTTTGCGCTGTATTTGTCTACTCATGTTCCCGCTTCCGAGCGACAAGGGGAGGGAGGCGTCTGATCAGAGCGTGTGATGAGAATCCACCTTTATAGCATTAGACAATGTGCTTGTTCACAGGTCTTTCCATTACAGCTGTGCTCTAGTATCACTCTCTTCAGGGACTCATCAACAAAGGCAGTGCGGCTCCACTGCTGGGTAATCTGACGCTGGATGTTTGCTGCAGCTCCCATAAAGGCTCCGCTTGCACTCGCATCATTTTATTCATGCTTGTGCGGCCGAGGCAAACATGACCGACTGAGGCGGCTGAAACTGTAAATCCCAGGGTTTCGCTTGTGTTCATAGGAGGGAAGTGAAAAAGGAACGGGCACGTGGCACCTCTCCTCTACTTATTGGGAGCCACAGTTGTGTAAGGGCCCATTATGTCAGGTTCACCATTGCTGTGGCAACTCCAAGAGAAGGAGTGAGGAAGTGGGAGTTTCTAGAGAGCGATTCTTTTATAGCCAGTTTTTTTTTTCTTCAATGTTGTTGTTTCTTTTTTGCTGGAGAGGCAGTTATTTCTAGCACTGGTCTTCCTTTCCCTTTTTATTTAGGTGGGAAGGGGTTTAAAAGTGGGTTATGAGCACTGCCAAATCTGAGGGAGGTGTTTTTCTTTCACACTGTTTTTTTTTTTTCTTCTTTTTGCCGTGCTTAACAGGAAAGTTGCTATTGATCAAAGGGAGAGGCTAGAATTTATCACTTTAATTCCATGACTTTTGCCGGCTCTGGAAGCTCACTCCTGCTGGGTGGCTGGATGTGTCACCCCCTGTGAGATAATGACCTGCTTCAATAAGCTGCCGTTTATGTTGTGGGGTGGGTTTTAAGGTCTGCCTTCTCCCTCTCTGCCACTTAAGGTGGTGATCAATGTCCCGCTGGTCCTCCATCTCAAGCTACTTAAGTTCCAGGAACTTCCTGCTCCACGGCCAGATGTGATACCTGCTCAACACTAGCACTGGCCAATATCTGTCTCTCTGTCTTATATCAATCTATCTATCTATCTATCTATCTATCTATCTATCTATCTATCTATCTATCTATCTATCTATCTATCTATCTATCTATCTATCTGTCTGTCTGTCTGTCTGTCTGTCTGTCTGTCTGTCTGTCTGTCTGTCTGTCTGTCTGTCTGTCTGTCTGTCTGTCTGTCTGTCTGTCTGTCTGTCTGTCTGTCTGTCTGTCTGTCTGTCTGTCTGTCTGTCTGTCTGTCTGTCTGTCCATCTGTCCGTCCGTCCGTCCATTGTTCTATCATTCTGTCTGTCTGTCTGTCATTATTTCTGTCTATCTAAAGTTCTATCATTTTATTTATTGTTTTATATCGTTCTGTCTATTTTTATTTGTTTTTAATGTCATTGTCTAATGTTCTCTCATTCTTTCTAACCATCTGTTTTATATATCTATCATTGCACTATTCTGTTTATAATTCAGTCATGTTGTCCATCTCTTGGCAATCTATAGTTTTTTTTATTATTATTATTTAAACCATATAATTTTATCTATTTTATGAATCTACTATTTTATTCATCCACTATCTGTTATTTGTCTTTCAATTAAATGTTTTACTTCCATAATTTAAATTTGCAGTTAAGTTCTTATCTAATTTTAAGCAAGGTTGTCCATCTTGGTCTTGACTGAAATGTGGAACCACCCAAGCAGGATTGCTTGACTCTGCTATAGAGAGACACAGTTTAAACTTTTTGGAGAGTTTGGGAGTTAAAGTGATTCATTTTTGTTGCTCTCATCTATTGACTATGAATACACCAAAAGTTAGCAGTTTATCTGTGCTAATTTCTGATTATCTGCAACATTCAGTGGTATAATGTGACCACTGGTAATGGTGATGTTTGATTTCTTGATCTGTTTAGAGGAACTTGTTTGTGCCAAATGTAAAAGTTTTTGCTGAGTGGCATCATCTGCAAAAAAAAAAAAAGAAACGACTGTTTCCCACTGCCTGAGAGTACAGTATGTTTTGTAACTTAACACTGGTTGTGAAATGGACTTTAGCATGTTTTTTTTTTTTTATCTGAGCTCAGACTTCCTGTTGAACTTATGAAGGTGGTAAGATTTAGACACAACACAGTAAAGTGACAGATTTGTTATACATTAAAAAAAAGACAGTGTAAATGCAGTAATGTTTACGGTTTCTTAATTCTAATTTCTGGATCAGATGGTGAATTGGCATCCTGTGGTCTTGCAGTTCCTCTTAATGGCCTATTGCAACATCTGAACATTCAGATGTCAAATGCATGGCTGGCTTTTATTTTCTTTTTAGGCTTTTGTTTGACAGCGTTTGTGTGATTTTTAGTTCAAGTGTGCCTTGAATGCTAAATCCCTGTTATGATGCATGGCTTACACTGAACGGTGCACAGAAGATCAGCGTTTGGCATACATATCCTCGGAAACACATTGTAAACACTGTTTTTGCCAGCAAGTTTCATTTGAAGTGAATCCAGCAGACTTCTAACTAACAAGCCCCAAATCGTTTTAACTATTTCTGGGATTGGGAAAAGAGATATGACACCATGCACAACCTGAAGACCCACAGAAGGATGTAGATTGAATAATTTTAGCTTTGTTTTTTTTTCTGTTTGTGTCTTGTAGCTGGTGAGAAAGCCATCGTCTGTGACCAGTGTGGAGCTCAGTTCCAGAAAGAAGATGCTCTGGAGGCCCACCGGCAGATCCACACAGGTGTGAAACAAACACTGATGCACACATCAAACACACTCAAATGTCCTATATTCAGTTGTGCATTTAGATTTGTCTTTTCATGTGCTGGTCCAGATTCTAAATGAAAGTGATTCATATTTTGTTTGCATTTTATATGTGTTCAGAGGTTGGTCTGTTTTGATTATAGTGTATTTTGAAAAGGGAATATTAATATATCTAGTTTGAATATCGTCAATCTGTTGTTTTTTAATCAATTTACAAATGGGAAATGTTGAATATATTGCTTGTGATTATATATTTAGCATGTTGGCAAATGAGAGCTTGACTAATTATGTATTGTTTTGTGTGAGACTATATAACAATTAATCAGGTTCATATTTTGCTACAAGATAAATATAAGAATATTTTTGGTCCCACTTTATATAAGGTTGCCTTATCTATTATGTATTTACACTAAACTTAATCATTTGTTACAATGTACTTATTGTGTAAACACAGGTTATTACATTGTACTTATCATTGATTAAATTCCTGCATGCAATTGCATCTGTAATTACATTTGTATTTACACTGCTGTCTTGAGTGACCTTAGCTCACTCTTAAACTTACCCATACCTCCAAACCTGTTCCTAAGCCTACCCATATCTCACCTTGAGATTACAAGAAGCGTTTTTTAATGCATTATAAACAGAGTAAGTACATTGTATCTATATTTTGATGCAAATACATAGTAGTTAAGGCCACCTAATATAAAGTGGGACCATATTTTTAAATAAATATATAATAAATTACATAAATACATGAATGGAAAATCAAAAATCGCGTGTGTGCGTGCGTGTGTGTGTGCGTGTGCGTGTGCGTGTGCGCACGCACTCAGAGATGTGTGTCTGTGGTCCTTTACTGACTTGACGGGTGCAGAGAAGTGCCAAACAGCTGAGTGTGTCTGTCTTGTCACAAAATGCAGCTAAATGTCCTTCACAATGGTAATAGTTTAATAACGTCATTTAAATGTCTGTACTGCATTTCAATAATGCGACTGATTAGCGTCTAGTGCCATTCCATCGTATGTTATGTGCCGTGGTTAATGTGTGTGGCTGCAGTTATAGCAGCCTTTGCTTTTGCACGCGGCAACCCTTGAACTCTGATGAAGAAAAAATTGGCTGTGTCACACTCACCCACCCCAAACCAGTGACGCACAACTCCGAGGCCAGCCTTTCAGGTGTGTGCAAAGCAATCTCCAGTGCTAAATTCACCCTCACGCTCCATCATAACATCACAACTCACTAGAAAACGTTTCACCACAACGAGAAATCTCACGTGTGTGATCTCGTATCCCGAGATTTCATCACATCCCTAATAAATACAATATTTTATACATATAATACATACAAAAAATGCTAATTTTGGTTTTATAGTTTTAGTTATATATTATAACCCGGCATTTAGGAACTGTTTTATCTGTAGCTTAGTGTTTAGTGCGCGTGCTTTCTAAAATATCTTTTAAATAATTGATTTATATTTACAGAGCAAGTAACGCAATACACAGTCTAAATCAAATTGTATCTCGTTTGGGTTCTAGGAAGTAAGGTTAGCTTGTATCTGTTTACTGGTGAAGCATAGTAAACAATCAGCTGCTTCGGTTATTTATAAACGCATAAAGCTTCGGTGACAATCATGTGTTTGAGGAGTTTAGTCCAGTCACTTCTCTAGGACACATGATGACACATGAACATTTACTGGAAGAAGTGAAAGGCAAACCACCCCAGCAGGTATGGGGTAAAGCTGGCAAGCATCCCCGACAATTACGCACATGCATGCCTGCTTGACATTCTATGCAGACCCATTTTTGGCTTTGGGAAACAGGGCAGCCATGGTCAGGCATGGTTGGATCTGTTTGTTTATTAGGTGCCCTCAAAACAATGTTGTGGTCGGCCAGGAAAACCTCCAGTTTCTCCCTCTGTTTACATCCTTATGTACTCAAACACAGAAATTAGAATTATAGCATACATATAAATTGTTACTCTAGAGAAACTAAGATTTTTTTTTTCCTAGTGGTCTCAACAAATATATTTTCTCTCATAGCTTTATATACACTACTGTTCTAAAGTTTGGGGCAAGGGTACTCAAGTTCTCAAAAACATTAAGCAACACTACAATTTTCAACATAAACTGAAATGCAATGCAATAAAAAGCAGCAAATGTGCATATTGTACTGATTTCTGAAAGATTTATTGACGGAAAATTTATCATCACAGGAATAAATCATATTTTAGACACATTAATTGTTATTAGTTAGGTATTATGAATAGTCATATTTCTCAGGTAGTCTTTTTACTATATTTTTTATTAAAAAAAAAATGCAGTCTTGAGTAAAAGCACCAGAAATTTGTGGAAATTAGGTCAAGCTTGGTTTGATCTCTTTGTATATTAGGTGCCTTCAAAACAATGTAAGAACTCCTCTCAGGTTTCCGTTTACATTCTTGATGGCAACCCGAGTGGGGTATGTGCTCGTGTGCCTGACCCTGATATGATGACCTCTGTCCCGATGCATGTGGTCCTCGGTACACTGCCATACTGTGACTCCTCACTTTCCAGACAGCACTCGCTATCTGCCCTTGGGAGAATGTTCTAGCACAAATGTGTCTCGCACTCCACAGCCTAACAGTCTGGCTTGCTTAGATCACTCTGGGTATAGAAAGCGCCGTTAATGCATTGCGGTTGTGACTGTGTGCCCATTTTGTGTTTCGCTGAAGCATTCATCCCACCCATGTGGCCTTGAACCACCTTCAGGAGGTGCTTGAGATTGACATGCTTAAAATGTGCAGTCAATAGTTCAGAGTGTTGAATTAAACCTTTTATAAGTAAGTGGACACACTTGAACGAAGGTTTGTCGAATGGTTGTCAGAATGACATGAGTCAGTGTTCAAAATTCACATCCTTAATCACTGTTGTAAACCGAAATGGCTTTAGGTCTCAGCATCAACTGTGATTTGGATGGATGTGTAGAGAATGTGAAGGCTTCAAACGATCGTGCAGTAGTCAATTGTCAAACTTTTTACTTTAATGTACATTCGGAGATTCTGGAATAAAACACCTAAATTCTAAATTTCTCTGAATTTATTAGGTGTGGATTTAAGTTAAATGCCAGTAGATTTCATTTGTAAAAGTGGAATTTAAAAAAGTACCTAAAAAACATGAAAAATTATACAAAACAATAATAATATTTTACAATAATAACAAACATATCAGCAAGACAATGATCCAAAAGATTTTTATCAACACCAGATTTTTTTATATGGTACTACACTATACCTCTTGGATAATTTAACCAAAAAAATAAAAAATAAACAACAACTGTAATTAAATAATCTAAACAATAAAATCATAAAGTCACGTTGTTGGCACGTTTACTAAATCAATCACTCAGTCAGGATTTTTTGTTGATTTATGGGAAAAATTTACACTTGCCTAAACCCATTCACACCAGGGGCGAAAACTATAATCCTGCTGCTGCAAAAAAAAAAAAAAAAAAAATTAAAATAAATAAATATAAATTAATTAATTATAATTAATTAATTAATTTTAGTGTGTGTGTGTGTGTGTGTGTGTGTGTGTGTGTGTGTGTGTGTGTGTGTGTGTGTGTGTGTGTGTGTGTGTGTGTGTGTGTGTGTGTGTGTGTGTGTGTGTGTGTGTGTGTGTGTGTGTGTGTGTGTGTGTGTGTGTATAGTGAAATTTTCACTAGTAGATGTTGATAACTAAAGAAATACATATTTGCATATATGCAAAGAAAACAAACCTATTGTAAATTATTGTATTGTATTGTAAATTAATATCACCTGATTCAGTTCAGCATCTATATTAGCAGAAAGATAAAAATGAAACCAGGGTGGACATTTCAGCAAGACAAGGATCCAAAACACAGCCAAGGTAACTCTCAAATGCTTTCAGAGAAAGAAAATCAAGCTGTAGAATGGCCTAGTCAATCACCTGATTACAATCCAATAGAAAACCTTAAATAAAGATCAGATTTGATAGACAAGACCCACAGAATTATCACAATTTTTACACTGATGAAGTCTGTGAAAAACTCACACCTGAGCAAGGCATGTGATTTCATTCTCCACATGAGAGTTGTCTTTAAGCGGACATTTTCCCTTATTGTAGTTCAAATAGTCTAAATCACAACTGTGTCAGTATTATCACTAATGAAAAATATTGTAGGCATGTCATCTATATATTAAAAAACCTTAACAACTTACCAGAACTCGGAAAACGGCACTGCAAGATTACATGAACAGTTGAACATTTTCAATATTTATTTGATTAGCGTTTTTGCTACTGAAACAATTGCTGCTATTTAAACAACTATTACTTCTTAATGGTAATCTAAAGATGGTCTTTAGTAAACTTAATTGCTATTGAAACGCACTAAATTGAGCAGTATTCACTTTCTTGCAGAATCACAGTGAATATATGATGAATATCCTGTCCTGGCCTTGGAGCTGCTTGGGTGCACTTTGTGTTGTTTGACAGACATGCGTAAAAGGCTTGCCGTGCCCTCGCTGACTGGGCCTCCCGAGAGCCTTGACCAATATGGGGCCCGTTGTAAATAGGGGTTAAACAGGGCTAACGATCAGAAAAAGGCGTACCAGTGGAAAAGCCTGGCTAAATATAGATTTGGAGTCTGGAGTAAAAAAAAATGGGCAGTGAAACTTGTCTTCCTGCCAGGGACCTGAACAGCAGTGAGGCCAGCCTCCCCTGTGGCTACCAGGCTTATATTTTAAATGTGCTATAACGCATGGCTAGTTTGATACGCTGGCTTTTTTTCCCACAATCCCTCAATATGCTCACCCATATGCTTCATTTTCACAGCCTAGATAGACTTGAAGAGGGTTATAGGGAGTTTTTATGTCTGCGGATTCATGTTTTTTTTTTTTTTTCCTGAACACTAGCCATGACACGCAAGCGTCCATGTTTTGCTACGCACCGAGGGTGGTTTCTGAAGCTTTCTCAGAGATGGT